GCTATGGAGATCTAGTGAGCTCTGGAGGCCATAGTACTGATGAAAAGTTGCACCAGGATGTTAAGAATTATTTCAAAAATGTTTTTATTGTGAACTTATGTTACTTTAAGGCTTTTTATATATTTTACCTGGAGAGCCAGTTATTGTTCAGGACATCAGAAAATATTGTTTTTGTTTCTCCTCCCACCAGTTTGACTCAGTTTAACTCTTTAGCTCCTGCATTGTCTGTGGAGAAAACGAGTCAGCAGAATTGGATGCAATATTAGATGAGATATTTTTCTCTTGCAGTGCTTCAGCTTAGTAAGTAAGCTGATGTAATCAGGTAAAATTCTCCTTTCCCATGAATAGAAGCTTCCCATAAATGCTAATTAATAATGATAATTTTTGTAAATATTTGACCTGCTGATTTTGATTTCAGCCCGTTCGCATTCCCTTAAATATGAGAAGACAGAAAGCCTTCAATCGAAACATAATAAATCTAGCATAAATAACTACAGCAGTTATTTAAATCTGTAGAAGAGGTGAGGAATGCTGCTGTGAGAGAGCAGTGCCTCTAAATCTGTTTTACAGATATTTTAAACCGTCTTTAAGAGCTCAAATTAGCAATTAGCTCATTAATAAAACAGCAGACAAAAAGCAAAAGCTAAAAGGTTAAAACAGACCAACTTCGCTGTGCCATGTTCGGCCTTCCTGTTATCTGCTAAATCTCTTGCTCTCCGTTTCTCTTCCATGACCTTTAACATTCTCAACATGCCACACAAAGCACAGCTTCCCTCATGCCTCTGCTTCCTCTGACGTAAATTATTAATGCTATAAATGGCTACACCTGAGCTCTGTAACATAGTTCATTCTGGTTTTGTCGGCTGGAGCTGGTAGTGCTCGGGTAGTTCACATGATTTTGAAATAAAACCAACAACTTGAGTTGATTCGTGGTGCTGAAGTGAAGGCAGCTGGACTTCTTCTCTTGTCTCTTGAAAATGTTTCACCTCTGAAGCGTTGTGAAGGAGAGGTGAAACAATAGAAGTCAAGTAGGATCGTGATGTGCTGAGGATTTCTAAGTGCTCCTGTGTTAAATGTTGGTGCCAACATTCAACATTTTCATGCCTAAACAAGCTTCATTTCTGATGAAAATAGCTGTAAGTTTTTAACCAGTTTGCTCGATGGCCTATAGTTTGAGTAAATATGAAAAAAAAAACAACAAGTTTTTAATTGGGGAAATTTAGCCTCCATGTAAACATTTTCTGCAGAAACCACATTTAAACTACTGAAATTCAAAAGAACATTTCGACACAAAGGAGAGAGAGAGGCGCATGAGGAGGGACGACCGATGTTCCTCTTCTCGGCTGATCGGCTGAGTCTGTTTTGGAGGAGTTGTTTGAAAAGCTCCAGGCTTCTGCTGCGTTTGAGTTGACCTTTTCATTAGCGAGCGGAGGCTAATGTTACCTGCTAAAAGGTGACTGTGAGCTTTCTCCCGGCCAACCAGTTCATCACGGGAAGAATCTCCCTCCGCCACGCGAGTCTTCAATTAGCCTCTGACTGGCAGCCGTCACATTCAGCGGCAGAAAATAGGAGCTGGAGCCGCGCGTCGCTGCAGCATCATTACCTCCACATTAATTATCACCTAATTGGCAAACGCAGTCGGCTTGTTGGCTCCGCTTCCTTTATGTTCCTCATTGAAGTTGTTTTTTTATTTTTTACCACGCGTCCCAACTCGTGTTGGAGGCGCTGGCCAGATGAGGAGCGAACCGGCACACAGGCGTAAACTAGACGAACCAATTTGGGTGGAACGTGGATGAAGAGGAAGAGACACGGCTGAATAAAAACGGCGACATAAGGGAGGCGACCTCGTCATTGTTGGCCGCGGGGCCATAATGAGACGCGTGCAGCCAGAATGAGAAGATTCCTCCTCTGAGGCCGCATCGTCTTTCTTCTCCTTCCGAGGAAAGAGAGAGGTGCTCTTCCATCAGCACAGGTGCTAAGGAGATTGCTCAGCGGCCGGCAGGAATGTGCTCTGCTGACAGCGCGACTGGTCGTCTAATTAGGACACACACCCCGACCCGTTTACACCTGCCGGGCCCTCCATCACTTCCGAGAAGGAGAGAGAGGAGATATTTTTGGGTCTAATTAGGAGCAATGATGTTAAATGTTTGTTTTTATTAAGGCTGGAGGTGATTTATTTAGTTATTTTTAATTTTACGACCCTATCCTCATGCGTTTCCCACACTAAATCAAATTTACTTTCAGGAATCTGTCTTTTGTGTATAAATCTGTCAAATTAACGTTTGAGGATCCTTTTTTAAACTGTTGATGGATAATTCTCAGATGGATCATCTTGGACGAAGCAGTGACACACACACACACACACACACAGTGCAGGTATAATTGGATTAGGATAAAGGGCCAGTGTTGGCTTTGAGGAGATTAGTTTGAGCACTGATCCTGTAATTAAACTGCCACAGGAAGGGAGAGGAAGAGGAGGAGGGAGAGAACGACGGTCAGACAGGGCCGATTGTCGTTGAACGGGTGAGGAGAGGGGGTTTGGATGAGGGTCCTCCAGTTTGTGTATGAATAAGGACAAATTCAAGGCCCTCGTTAAGTCTGTCCAGAGACACAAAGAAGCCTGAGCGGAGTTTCAGATTTCTCAGTCCTCTGATTCTTCTCGTTTCTTCCTCTCCACAGGCAGAACGTGATCCGGCCGATGGGCGTCAGGCCGGACGGGACGTTGGCGCCTCTGGAAGAGACGCTCATCTGTCGACCAGAAGAAAACTCTGATACAGACTCTGACTAGTGCGCCGCACGTCTGGGCTGCGGTTTCCAGATCTGCGTCCCAATTGTAGAGCTAGTGAAACTGAACTGTGACATGCTGCACTTACACATTTCACATTACATGTACATGATATGATGTAAAAAAAAAAAAAACCATCCTGGCCTCCAGTGATGACCCATAAAGTCCAGCTTGTCACCAACCTGTGTGATAAGAGAGGAGGAAGTAGTTCATTGTGGATTGAGCTGGGAGAGTGACTGTGATGAGTTTAAGTGTAAGATACTGAACCTCTGGCACATAGTTAGGCATGTTAACGATGGAAAACATGGAGCACGCCTTTAAGTCTGTCAGGCGTCATTTTTCTTCTTCTTAACACGGTTATTGATTTCTTGCAAAAGTACTCGCACCCCTTAAAGTCTGTTTTTTGTCAGAACTTAAATCTATTTTACGTGATAGACCGACACAAAGTAGAGCACAACTCCAAAGTTGAAGCAAAGATGGGATTTAAAAATGCAACTTAAAATCTGAAGTGGTTTTGTGTCAAACCCCAACTGGTTAATACTTTCTAAAACTTTTTTTTTTTGCTTCACTTACAGTTGTGAAGTCTTGTGGTGTATTTACCAGCTTTGACCATCATCTGTATGTTTAGGGTCGATGTCTAACTTTGAGGGGGGAAGTTCTGGTCGCCTTCAAACAGGATTTACCGTCAGCTCTGACTGAACAGAATAGCATCTGCACAGCATGAAATCGCCACTTCTTTGGGGATTGGGGAATGTTAAACTCTTAGGGTTTCCAAATGATGGAGGCAGAGTGCCACTTTAATCAGATTTGTATTTATAAAAGAAAGTACCCTTTTCCCTAAACCTCACAGTTATGCACTATTTTGTGTTGTGATGTAACAAAAAAAATAGACTTTCAAGGGTATAAATACTTTTGCGAGGCACATTGTGTTGTATGGGTGTCTACTTTGATACAAACTCAATGGAATACGTCTAAAGTGATATCTTTAAAATGAATGACTTGACAGGGACTGAAAGTTTGCAGAGAAGATCAGATTTTAGCCTCCTTCTCCATTTCAGACCTTCTGTGCCACGACTACAAATTAAGCTTATTTTCCAGATTCTTCTTGTGCTCTGAAATGACATTAGGTTTTTAACTATTGGAATTCAATCAAGGCTTTTCAGAAAAGATACAATAAACGATCAGATTGAAGCATTATAATTAAAGTATTTAACTATAATGTGAAATGCACCGTTGCCTTCACCGTTGGCAGATACAGGCGTTGGACGGATGGAAGTAGGAAGAGTTGGTCCTGAAGGCTCCTGCTGTTACTCAGAGTTCATTTGAGGCCTTTATGGTTGGTTACCTGTTGCATCCTTAAGTTATGAAACTTAAATTCTTGTTGGATCTTTTTTTTTTTTTTTTTATAGTGAACACAGATGCCAAGGTTTAAAGTCTTAAAAATAAAATAAAATCATTCCTTTTGTTTGGTTCCTCACATTTATGTTCTCCTACATTTTTAATTAAACACTGGACAGTTAAACCCCCCCTCTGGTTTTAAATGCCGCTGCCTGTCCACAGGCATGTTGTGACCACTGAAACTTTTTAAATTCAGGCTTGTTAGCCAACAGACATTCGTTTTTTTAAGAAGCTTAGAGGAACAGAAAAGCAACTTGATATGTAGTTGCTGAAACACCTCGTGTGGATTTTAAGACCATGAAATATGGAAACTACAATGATTGTTTTTAATCCATTTACTTTTTTTTTAAATTTTTTGCCAAATCTGCATGATGATAAATATTTTTGCCCCTGATGGACAATGTAGAATTTTATACAAATCTTTGTGTGTAAGGCCGACTGCTCTTATAAATTTATAGTAAACTGTTGGTACAGCAACAAGTCCAGTTCCTAAAGATTTTACTGTAACTGAAATGCTTTTAAGCCTCGTCAGATTTTTGTTGTATTTTCTTACCATTATGTTTTTGTATTTAAACTGTTCAGACTTTCCTTTGTGCTTGTAAGTTATGCTATGTTATTTTTCCAACACATAAATCCTGGGATCCTTTATAAATTTGCATGAACGTGGGAAGAATATCTTGTTTGCACTTTTTTTGTGTGTGTACTATAGGCAGCACTACTTATTTTGTGAGGCTTTTCCACTGAAAAGTTAATAAAAGTGAAGAACAACACCGTCTCCTTTGCAAAGAGAAGCATTTATTAAATATTGAACAGTGCATGATTGAGATAAAACAACTTTATTAGCCTTGGACATATAAAAATCACTTTGGGGAATATTTACTAGTGTTCTGGATGGAAACTAGATTAACCACCTTATATCTACATATAAACAAAACAAACACTTCACATTGACTATGACAGATGTGAAGCAAAACAACCTGCATATTTACAGAGCAGCTGAAATGAATTTCTCCTGAACTGTTGTATTACAGGCTGAGGAGTTATTTGCTTGCTCTGGAAGACGCAGAGCTTTTGCTGTCCGTTTCTGAGTCGGTGTCCTCGCTGCAGCTTCCTTCAGCGCCTGGTCTGGATGTCTGCATGTCTTCAGTCTCTGATGATGATGATGATGATGATCCATTGGTTACCACAGGAGGGATGCCCTGCAAGAAGGACTTCATCTCAAATAATCACATTTATCTCAGTAAACTATATTAAAAAGTGAAACTTATATTGATTAATTATGGATAACATTTATTTGTTACAGTAAAGGCCCATCATTAAGGGGTTTCTAATAAAAAAAATAAAAAAAATTGTTGGCATTTTCCATTAATTTTTGCATTAGAGTGGTTCTGGTGCTGCTTTGAGGAAACACAGGTTGCTTTAATTTAAGCCTTTGGTTGATCTTTATTGTTGGGCATCGGAGCTGAACGATAAATCAATAATATCAATAGATAATGTCTCAGAATTGTCAATATTCAAAATCATCACCTTCCTAAAATAAAGGGTTATGTCAATTTTAGTCAAATGTGACTTTGACCAGAAGAAGAAAAAATATCACCTCATTTAATTGCCAAAAGATGCTTTAGGCCATTATTTTAGGAAGGTAAAGTATTCACTGAGCCGCACAGCATTCTGGGATATGTAGGCAGAGGGAGGCTTTTAGCTGTTCAACTTCACGACTTAAGATTTTCTATGACAACGGTTTTGAAACCTGGTCCCGCTGTCCAGCATGCTTTAGAGCTTGAGAAAAATGCAGTGTGAATGTTTAGGTGAAAACTGCAGAAGCGTTTGAAGTCAACTGAAGCAACAGAATAAAGCAAAATCCTGCAAAACGCAAATAGAAAAAAAAACTGTAGAAAGAAGAGTGAAAACCTTCAGTCAATATCCAAACTACCAACCAAAGACTTTGTAAACAAAGATTTACAAAGCCAAGAGGGGTTAGAAGTAGGGTTTAAATCAGCATTGCATTTAAATAGCTGTACTGAAACACATATATGAGTTCTGTGAGCAGACATTTAATTCACCATTGCTTATTTCTTAGAAACTGAATTCCAGGTTTTTCATTGGCCATAATAATCTAAGTTAACAGAAATAAAACTTGATGTCTATCTGATTGTGCAATCAATCTATTTAAAAGACTTTTGAATTCATTTAATGAAATAAATCAACTTTTTGCTGATGCTGTGTGTCCTGACCAACTCACCGACTTTTCCTGAGTCCTCATCATTTCTTCGATTTCACCGCTCCAGCCAAGGATCTCTGCGAACCTCCTGACCGAGTCTGCCAGATCCCCCAGCTCCATGTGGTCCCCTCTCCGCAGCGGGACCCTCTCGAAGGGGCCCACAGCATGCCGGTTCAGGAGCAGACGAGGCACAGTGGAGCGCACCGTATTCACTAGGCTAGCAAAAGGCTCGATCTGAAAACAAAAAACTTTATTAAAGATCAGACGCTACAGGGATGCGATTCTGATTTTACGAATCAAGTTAAAGCTCACCTTTAAAGAAGTCCCCATGATGATGAGCAGGTCTGCTTTGGGGAAGTCTTTCGTGTGGAGAAAATATTTCTCTGGGAGGTCTTCTCCAAAAAACACAACGTCAGGTTTGACAGTAGCGGCGCAGAAGGAGCAGGTGGGGATGTTGTCAGTCATTATAGCAACCTGCGAAACACAAAAGAAAACATCACAAGGCCGAATAAAGCAGCGGACAGCGTTTGGCAGGTTGTGGACTCGACGTACTTTAGCCTCCTCGGCAGGATACGGCGTGTAGCACAGGTGGCAGGAAGCTGTGGTAAAACTACCGTGGGCCTCCACGAGTTTGTCTTCAGGGATGCCGCACACTGAGGAGAGGAACGGCACTTTAAATTACTGAGACCAAGGCAGAAAATCAAGTCAAGAGACAGGAGAAAGCAGTTCAAATTAATACGTTGTTCTTTTAAAATCACCTTTACTGAGTTATTGTTTTATAAACGAATCTCAGTAGTTTCAAAAAACTACTTCTTCCATAAATTTCCATGTTTATAAAGTCAAAGCAGTGTCTGAACCTCCATATCTCTGAGTCTCTAATGACAGTTTCTATTAATTCATGACAAATTACAACTTAAACTTGAAATGATTAAGAAAATGTGAAACTAATGGTATACATTTTAGCTTTTAAACAAAAAACCTCTTTAATAATGTTTTTAATAATTTATAAACCTGTTTAAATAATGTTGTACATTTATTAATTCAATATATTTAAATGACGCCAAACATAAAAACATTGAATACCTAAAAGGAATTTATTCATCAAGTATGTAAATTATAACTGGTAGTTATAATGAGCTGTATTTCTTAAAGTTCATTTTCATTTTTATGTACCTTATTAAATATATTTACTGAAGTGATGAAGGTCCTAGTTAAAGTTTAGGTACATGAGGTTATGAAATGTTTTGGCTTGAAATATAGAATTAGGGAAAACCACAGACTCTATGAGGAAGAAAGGAAGGAGGAATAAAAGCACAAAAGGACAATTGTGAAAATAAATTGAAAAGAGGAAAGATGGAAAGAAGAATGGAAGGTGGGATGGACAACAAAAGCATAAATGAAGTCTGAGACGGCGTTGGGACGCTGCGGTAGACATTTGGATGTTTGTCTGTGTCCTAACTCGCCTTTCTCCAGCCCATCGATGTTCTGGGTGTACAGCCGGAGCAGCAGACCTTTGTGGTGGAGCATGCGGATGAAGTAGTGGATGTAGTTGGGACGGTGGCAGCCAGGATACAGAGCCTTGGCCAAGGAGAAGAAAGGCTGGGGGTCGTTGGAGAAGTAGTCGATGTTGAAAATGGCCTCAGGGTAAGGGATGTTGTACTTCTCCAGGTTGGCATAGAGACCCGTTCCTGGAGTCCTGGAGACAACGTAGAGCTCTCGTTAAGACATGTCATGGCAGTAATCCAAAGAAACAAAGTACAAATAAAAAACAAGATTAAAAAAAAAAAAACTCCACAGCTGAGACCACACTGACGAGGAGTGAAGTCATTAATCAGAAACAGGAAATAAAGGACAGCTACGGACCGGAAGTCTGGGATGCCGCTGGGCGTGCTGATTCCCGCTCCTACAACCACCAGTATGTTCTTACAGCGGCCCAGTTTCACAAGCCGAGCCACCGACAACAGGCCGCTCCGGGAAGAAGAGGACTTCACCGGGAATGAAGATGGAACGATCTGGTCAGATGTGGACTCAGAGGACGGACAGACCTGCATGGGAACACTGCCAGCTGCGGACATCGTTCCTTTACTGTTGGAAAAACAAAAAGGTCCTGGTGTAATTTACAAAAACACTGACAGGCCTTATTCTTATTTTAGTACCGCGACAAAAATTAAGGGGGAATAAATCCAGTATTACTCCTATTCTGTTAGTTCTACTTTCAAAGCGTGTGGCTGCAGGTAGCATGTTTTCACCTTGCAGAGTCCGGTCTGCTCACACTCATCAGGCTGAGGTCCTGAGCCAGAGCCGAGTCAGGCTGCTTCCTTCGTTGCTTTCCATACGGACCCTGCCACGAGTCCTGGGGTTCTGCAGGTCCTGGATGCCTGGCCTGGGAGCTGGAGCTGCGGGTTGACCTGGTGCCCGGAGGCTGGGGAACTTTTCTATCCCTACTGGACCTGGACCTGTTCATTCCAACACCTGGTAAAACGTAAGAACAACAGGCAGTTCTAGTTTCCATTCAGTTCCTTTATACATTACAGATTCACAACCAATGTTACGTCTAGCTACTTTCACTTTTAAGAAACCCAATTCCCAATTAATATTCAGTTAATCTGAACTCAATCCCGTTCAGATCTGAGTCTACAGTTTATTCAGGAAAGAGACCCAGCTAAAGAAATTAGCACTGCGCTAGTAGAAAACGAGTACAACTTAATGATGGCATCAAAAGCTCTCTTGGTTGATTTGTCCAGAAGAGAAAAACAACTTCACACAAAAGAGTTGGCTTGATATATATCGGATGAAAGGAAAAAATAAATAAAAAATGTTAAAAATCACACACATTTAATCCAAGCAATATCTCTGAGAGTCGTTCTTCTTCAGAGAATAATTTGTTGGACTTCTTAACGTTTGTTCTTCTGTCATTCTGTGCATTTGGTTTTATGTTAGAATTATTATTTGTTGCTTTTTGGGTGAAGAACTTTGTCCAACCACAGCTGTTCTCAAATGTGCTACACAAATAAACTTGATCTGATTCTCACCAAGGAGACAGAGCAACACAAAAAGCAAGAATGCTTTCTATGAGAAAACCCCCCAAAAAGTCTCCTCCAAGAAAAAAAAAAAAAAAAACAGTGAAAATTTATAGCAACAATAGCTCTGCTGCAGCTCAACACATAAGCACCAGGTCAGTAGTACTTTCTATGGAAAGTAAAAACCAAGAGCGCACACAAACAAAATGGCAGGACAATTTATTTCAATGTTTTTGTCTTGGAAAGAAATGCGGCTAAACACACAAGTTCTGATCCAGAAGGCAAAGCAAGACTCAGAGATTACACTTGACATTTTATTTCCCAAACGAACTTGAATTAAAAAGGTTTTTTGACTCACTTTAATAATCTAACAGGCTTATTAGATACAAGATGTTTTCAGTCATTTATTTTTCAGTTGCCATTCCTCCTCTCCCTCCTCTTCCTCGTCTTGTATTTAAAAAGCTGTTACACTGAAATCATCCCGACATCCTTTTCTCCCGAGTCTCTTTACACAGAGGGGAAGCTGAAATGTTTTAAAACTGTCAACAGCCGAACAAAAGCTAATGGCTGCAATATATTTAGCCCCCTCCGCTCCCCATTCTCTCCATAGCTGCTATGCTAATACAGTCCACAGCTGTGGCAGCTTTACTGTTCAGGGAAAGCGGAGCGTAGCGCCGAGAGGTGAAGGGGAGGGATGAGAGTTAAAAACAGGGGTGGGATGAGGAAAAAGAGAGAAGTTGATAAAAGTCAACAAACCCAGCTGGGTGAGCGGGGAAAAGGCGCCCTTACGGCCCCACAATGACGTTGAGAAAACCAGCTGAGGGTGGCGGGGACAGAGGAGATAAATGATACATAGGCGAGCTTCAATAAGGACGGAGCCCTAGGAGGAGGGAGAAGGGTCACCTAAAACTATTCCATGCTTTTAAAGAAAGTCGGAAAGGCTGAGCAATCCGGCAGAGACGACAAAGAAGTGGACAAAAGGGTTTCAACAAATTAAGCTTTCATGAAACAAACTTCCTTCTACATCCACCTTAAAGGAGACAAGCCATAAAAGATCAGAAAAGATTTAGAGTAGGGGTGTACCGATCGTGTTTTTTTTGGCTGATCCCAGATTACCAATCTTAAAAAAAGCCTGAGCTGCAGATTCCGATTTTAGCCGATACTAATATTTTGTCTGAAATGTCGCTAAACACCATAGAAATGGAAGGACCCTAAAAAGTCAAATTTGTCTGATGTGATGAACTAAAAAAGGTGTCATGTATGGAGAACAATAGTCACTGTCTAGTACTAGTTCCATATATCATGATACGATTATCAGCAACATCGGCCAGCCCAAGAGTTTGGTGATTAATTTTGGTGATTAGCGGCTAACAACAGAGATTTGTCAAGAAAACTAAGGCGATGATTAATCTTCTGTTATGATAATGACCTCAAGCACAGAGCAAAGGTGACAAAGCAGACTGGACATATTTGAGTTGTGTGGGCCAGTCAGAGCCTGGACTTGAATACAATTCTCTGGAAAGAGCTAAAATGGCCGTCTACTGACTGTTCCCATTTAGCCTGACAGCTTAAGAAGATCTACAGGTTTGCAAAGCTTGTAGGGACAAACTCAAGAAGACTCGAGGTTGGAATTGCTCCCAAAGACGCTTTAACAACATTTTAACCCAACGCCGATAAAGCTATTTTAGAATAGAAAATCTAGACCAAGTTAAGGGATGTGAAAAGTCTACTAGATAAAAGCCTCAATACTAGAAAACCCTAATTTAATTATATCAAGCTCAGTTTTTAGAAAGTTATTTATTGAGCTTAAAACAGATAAATCTCACGTTTAAGAAATAAAAGAGACAACCATCCCAATTCACTACTTTCATTTAAGGTCCTCAATCTTTTTCCTCCTTTAAGACTGAAGCCCCTGCGTTACTAGAGCCCCCTCCAGCCCCTTCACATCCTACAGAACTATTAAAAACAGTAGGAGGGTGAGGGTCTCTGCTTTTGTCTGGTCTGCTCTCAAAAAGACACTGCTGAGTACAGGCAATAAATCACAGGCCCAGTTATTAAGGTTTCTCACAGATGGTGAGAGCTACCATCACACAGCATCTTAACAGGACAAATACCCTTTCCAAGTATGGTCGCATTTGGATAAGTTGAATTTCTTTTAGTTTGCACGAGCACAAAAGTAATTTTTTTTTTTTTTTGTAAATACAATTGTTCAGAACCTCTGAAATGCTTCCATTTTATTAGATAAATCTCTAAATGTCTGTAGATGCTGTTATTATTCTTTAATGACAAATAAATCCTTGTATAAATGACAAAGGGCATTATGCGGATTTAGAAGCCGCCCCCACCCCCACCCTCCTCCTTGCTTGCCCTTTCACACTACTTGCTCTCGCAGATCTCCCAGATCGAAAATCTGCGTGTCCCATAACAGGACCACCAGGATAGCGGCTGCTCATACGAGGGGATACAGTTATCTAATTAAGAGCGCCTCACAACACTGGGAACACCTCAGTGATCACCTTCAAAACTGCCCCACCCCATCTCCTCCACTAAAAAGTCATGCTGTCTGATAATCCTTTCAAAATGCTGGAGGCTCAGACCAAAGGCTAGAAGCCGGCAAGAAAAGTGGGCAACAAGTTGGTGCTAAAGCAACAAAGACACAGCTAACAGGGTGAAACCGGAGAACACTATGAGCAAATAATGATTTGTTTGCCTAAAAGACATTCAGAAGTATAATTATTAACACTGCATGCAGAGGAAAAAACAATTATTTTAGCAATTGATTACTATTAGCTATTATTCTGACGATTACGTGGTAAGAAAAAAGGAGAAAATGTTCACATCCTGCAGATTTTTCATTTATCCACTTAAGACCTTTTTATTAAAATAGTAGAAAAATATTAAAAGATGCAAAAAACTAATAATTCAATTCCTATTGAGAAAATAAACATTTTATTGCAGAAATTGACGCAGATGAAGCTAAAACTAGGCAAGTGAGAAGTTATGGGTGGAACAGATTTACAGACTTATCTTAAATGCAAAATATATATATTTTTGAACAGGTTTGACTTAAATCACTGCTCTGTGTTGTTCTTTCAGGAAATGGCACATTTTAGAATATGTGTCCTCCAGTTAAGGATTAATCAACTACTAAACTGATTAATCCTTTTAATAAATCAATTCATCACAATTGATTTTATCATACCATCTTTTTATGCAGATGAAATTTAGGAGATGAACAAGTCAGACTTTTAGTGGCCATTAAACCCTTTCGTTTTCTTTTCCCTTTGAAAAACCCCACAGTTTTTAACAGAAATTAAAGAATCACAAGATAATTCCCATTATCCCTCAATGTTATCTGATTTTTATTAAACTCAAAACAAAATTTAAAGAATACGTCATTTGTTGATACCTACAAAAAATTGTTTTCAGTTTTGGTAAATGCAAGCAAATGATGGATGGATGGTCAAGACTGGTTTGACAACTTTTTTTTTTTTTTTTAAATTTTCTGTTGTATGTTTGGCAGAACTTCGCTGGTGGCCTTCACTTTGTAAAGCGCTGAACATTCATGTCATTTTTTAAGGATTATTTTTATTTATTTATTTCGAACATGACAGAAGTATAAAATTACACACATGAACAAGGAAAGCAAAAGACATATTTTTGTACAATACTCTTAACTTGCTCAAAAAGGAGTAGGAAGAAGAAAGAAACTTATGAACTCCTACCCCATAAACTCATACAATATTTTCAGATGAACCCTCATTATTTTGATGGAAAAAAAAAAAAATCATCCTTGTAAGGTCATTACAAGGATGATTTTAGTGTAACTTTACTCAGATTCCACTTTCTGCAACTTGTTGCAGAAAGTTTAAGAGAGATAAACAGCTAAAATGTGGAGCTGGAGTCTGTGAGCCCCGCTCAGCTGCATCTTAAAGCAGGTTTGGCTAAGTTTAATGAGGTGCTTTTCTGCTGCAACCCCAGCATTTAACCCTCCACTCACAGAGGAGTCGAGGACGGCCAACTTTGATCTCCCCTGTACCCCCAGCCCGGGGGACAACGACCAGCAGCCTGGTCGCCATGGAAAGCTCTTCATTACTTTGCTGAAGAGGCAACGGCTCTGTGTTCTCCCTCCCCACCTGCTCACTAATGACATATCACTCTGTGTAGCATCTTTGTTGGCCTCTCTATTGACACAAAGCGCTGAGTCCTAATTTGTGTTAGGATGTTGTTTGCTCACACACAGAGGAAGGTGGGTGGCGGCGGGGTTAAACTGGCCCAGTGGGTCGATGGCCAAGTAATGACTTGTCTTGTTGCCCCTCAAAAGACACACTGGCACTTAATTAATAACATATCAGAAATCAATGTCAATTCTCTGAAGGTATAAGACAAGAGAATAAACTTTTTTTTTTTTTTAGCAAATTCCAACTTTAAGTACGTTTGACCAGTAATTATCCAGTCGATCTTGTTGCAGAAGATAAAGAGTAGAAGTGATGTTTATGATGATATTCTTTAAAAAAAAAAAAAAAAACTACACACTTTTCCTGTTTACCTACAAACATATGTGAAGGGAAAAATCTTCACTTGGAGAATTAAAATGCTGCATTTCTGCAACTAATATGAGTTTTTTTTTTTTAGAAATAAAATGTAAGCAAGCAGTACATGAGTTATTACCAATTAAAATATTCAACCATGTCTCAATATTATAAATGTGTAAAACTTTTCTAGATCCAAAACAAAAACATGCCGAGTGTCTGCAGTGTAAGCCCACACTGACACCTGCTGGTAGTTTAAGGTCATTACATAAAAACTGTTCAATTCTGAGGAAGCCTAACATGAAAAAAAAACACGAAGAACATTTATTCAAATACATAAATAAAACTAACAACTACATAAAGTAATTTACTGACCACACAATGGCCGGCTTGTATTAGATTGTTAGCCATAAGTGAGTTTACTGCTAACTATCAGTTAACTTGCCATCTCTAATGATAAATTCTGGTCGATGTTCACCATTAAATTTAAAAATATTTTATTCATCCCAAAGAGAGCGTTATCGTTGTAGTGCCTTGAATTATTTAAATTTCTTGGGTGGATCATTGTAGGTGGAGACGGCTGGGGGCAAGAAGGAAGGATATAAGGAAGCAAGGACGGAAAAGACACAAAAAGGGCAGAAGAGGCAAAAGGAAGTAAACACAAGGAAGGAAGAGGAAGTACAAAGGAAGGATAGAAGACAAAAAGTGAATGAATACAGGCACAAGAAAAAATATAGGAGGGAGAAAGAAAACATGCATCCAACAAAGATAGTAAAACAGAGGGCAAGAGACAATGAAAGTAAGCCAACATAAAGCAAGGACATGAGGAAGAGAAAAAAAGAATACAAGGAAGGAAGGACAAAAGAAAAACATTGGGGGAAAAAAAAATCGAGAAAACACTAATATTTTTCCATACTTTTGTTTTCTCCATATTTTGGGGGGAATTTCAATTCTTTTCCAAACTACTCTGATAAACCTGCCCCACAAATTAATTTATATTTGTCTGTCTGTGCAGAGACATACAGTTTGTTTGATAATTACCCTTTTTTCAAATGAAGAACTTTTGAAAGCTGCAGTTCAGACCTTCTGTGCTTTGAGTCACTTTAAATTATACAAAAACATGTCGTGTCCTGTCCACAGAGCACATCACAGATTTATTGACAATTCAGCAAACACTTTTAGCTGTAAGGGTATAACTGTAACAGCAAAATGTTTTTGGTCGCCCCTATGAACTGCAGTACAGATAAACAATAAGTATATTTAAGTTAATGCTTAAAAAAACGACAATAAGGAACTGGAGAAAAATCCTATTGAATACAATATTTCACCATTCTTCGGTAAGATGGTGCTGAAATACTTTAAAAAGGTAAACAGGGATTGAAACCTAGACCAATCATAGCTTGTTTTTTTTTTGTTTTTTTTCCCACTGCGGTGTTACAAGGAGTTACCTGCCTGTCTCCAGATTGCTCGACGAGAGATGCAGGCAGACTGAGCTGCTTCAGCCAGAATGCTTTAACAACCAAACGGAAGCTGGCTCAGCGGCTGTGACGCTAAAATCCACAGTGGAACTCCGTCACCTGTGGCGGTCAGGTCAGCAGAATCGGGTTTACTTATTTTAAATTAGTCTGTCTTCCTCTCAGCCACACGCAGAAAAGGAAATCTGCATGGAGTCTAAGTTTTAGGGAGCAGAGGTCTCACTCCGCTTTTTATTCCGTGGACTAAATAAGTCATCAAGAACTAATACAGGCGGGAAACGAGAATGGAGTCACATAACGCAGTGTTTCCGCTTTTAACACCAATTTCCCTGCGTTATTCAAATCTAAAAGAGTGGATATACTTGTTCATGCATGTCATTCTAATTTGATGATAAACTGCTGTTGAATCTTTTGTTAATCTGTTGATCTTTAATAAATAAATAAATAAACAATGATTGCCTTTTAATTCCAGCATGTTGTAAGCTAAGTTTCTATACATAATAGATGCATTTTGTGGTAGATGTAAATGTAAAACATCCTAATAATCGTGTACACTTTGGTTTGGAATAGAATAGAATAGAATAGAATAGAATAGAATAGAATTATCCTTCATTGTCCCGTACAAATTCAGGAAATGTCACATCTGGCTATCCAGATGTGACATTCTTGAAGATGAATTTGACATGTAGAGCTTGCTAAAGGTCATAAAGTGTTTCTGGAGACAATGGGAAACCTTGCTACTGGTGATTTCTGTATCTTATGAGACTGACATATTTATAAGACACATAATGTGATACATAAACTTCAGATTCAGATCTACTAAAGAACAGAAAAAAACATAGCAAGAAAGTAGATTAATCTAAAAACCTTGGTTTGTCCAAGGAATATAGAGTCCTTCAATAATCTACCATCATTTAGATACCTTAGAAGACATAATTTTACTATATTCCTATAATTAAATAAACATCTAAAGGGCAATTTAAAAGTATTTTATATCTCGTTTGGGGATTATTAATGAACCCGATCACATTGTGCCAACCATAGCATTCATGTCTATGGTTCCAATAACCTATCATAGAAACATTGTTACCGAGGGATGGTAGAGACTCATCTCCTTGTAAGAGACGATCTTGACTTGAAGGCCGCAAAAACACCTTAATCGTCACTTCCTCCCTGAGGAAGAGGCGGGGCTGCTGTATTTTGATCAGTTTGGTAACGCGTGAACGATTCAGTTCACTTGAATGGTTTATTTTGTAGCCTCCCGCCAACATTGAGTGACAGTTTGGGTGAGGGTCGGGGGGTGGTCTTTACAGATTATAAACATTTAATCTCCTCATTTGCAACCCCCAAACATCTCTCAGTATGTGTTCAGAATCATTAGTTAAATAAAAAGGAATGCACTTTTTATTAACACACTTTAAAAAGGCATTTATGATCATCTATGTCATAATTTCATGCTTGTGAAGTTCAGCAGATTCAGAGATCCAGTTTGCAGACTGTACCTCTGTGTGTGTGCTTTGTGGGTGGAGATTGAGAACCTCCTCCTAAAAACAGTCAACACCAGCCAGCTTCACTCCCTGCAGCACCTTTGTTATTTCTAAATTTGGGACTACAACATATATTTTTTATATTCATCATTTTATTTACTTAGTCTCACAATCATCCTATAACTCATTGGATTTCTTTTTTCGACTGGCCACCATTACAGCAAGGTAAGTGTTATTTTGGACCGTTAGGGATCAGTTTTGTTAACGAGAGTCAGCCATGAAAACTTGACAACAACCAGTGTTTTTTTTTTTTTCTTTTTCGAAAAACTAAGAGCCATTACGTTATAACCACAGATTCAGGGCGAACTCGGACGTTTATTTCAGTTTCAACAGCGTAAACGGAGGTTGGATGTCGAACGTTATCGTGTAAAACCGTTGAAAAATCCTCGAGCGACGTGACGTACGAGCTAGAAGATTCTACACATTTACGTTAAAGCGCGAGCAATTATAGTGGTTGAAGGCATCGACCACACGCAGAGCGATAATGTGTCTTTAAAGTCCTATAATTTGGGGTAAATTGCGTTAAAAGCCGTCAAACAACGCATATCCTACTCTACGAGAATATGTGTAGAAGTTGACGTTCGTAAAATGTTGCAGGGAGCTAGCATAAATTGTTTTGACTGGGTTTGGTACTTTATTTGGAGGGGTAAACTCGTACCCCATCAGTTAATTCACGACGCAACGTCCTGAGTAAGTTTCCTTTTGTGGTCATCTTTTACAACAATCATCTCTTTAGGTTGTGTTATGAGATTTTAGATGGACGTGTTATTTTGACCTGGGCTTAAATACGGCGGCAGTTATTTAGAGCAGCCTTTTAAAATGCTAATTTTTGCCTTCAGATTTCATATACCTGAAGTTATATGTCCAGGTTTGCAAAATATGTCATCTCTTAATGAGGCAGATTGCATGATTATTGCAGTTCCTTTCATTATCTGTTATTGATGTCAGAAGGGTTGTCAGACTTTTTATGTCTATTTAGTCCATAAAGTGACACCAGTATGTATGGATTCATTACACAAAGAAGAATATATGATCATTTGTAATATATATGGCTGAAGGTTAGTGGAAACCTGAAATTCAGTTTGTACGAGAAACATATTATTACAAAAGAATAATAATTTACAGAAATGTCAGTCTACTGAGAAGCATGTCCATGTAGTGTACACTACATGCAATCAGTTCTCAATCTGGGAATACTGCTTCAGTGCAGCACAAAGATGACTAACCTGTGGTGTTATAAGGCCACATTTCAGAAGCATCTTACCTGGCCTCAGGAAAATGTAGACTGCAATGTCGTTCAGTCATCCAAAATCCTCTCTGCATATAATCACCATGTTTACTTTTCATTTCAGGAAGAGTGAAAAAGCACAAAACCTAACTTGCTTTGTGATATAGTGTGCTTCCACAGATTATGATGAATTGAGGAACAATTTCATCCTCTAATGTTAGTGTATTGTTATATCAAGTCCACAGTCCGCTGCCTATCAGGAATTTTAGAGCATGACATTCTTGACGTGCTTGATTGACCAACAAACTCACCTGATCTAAACCCATAAAGAATTTGTGGTGTGTTGTTGTGAGGACGAAAATGAGCAACACTTGACCCAACTAAACAGAAAGGCTGATGTTAAAGCAACCTGGGCTTCCTTAATAACTACTGAATGTTTACCATCAAACATTGGTTGAATGTATTCTAGTAGAGGCATATATCAGAAATGTGCTTTTGTTTATGTCAAGATAAAATACATATTTAGATATAGTCTAAATACTGCAATGGACCGGTGACCTGTCCAGGGTGAACCACGCCTCTTGCCCGTTGACCGCTAGAGATACCCCTCACAATCTTAATAGGGATACGCATGTAAGATGATGGATATTGTCTAAATATATTAAATATTTTATTATCATTATGTCCATTCATTTTGTTGCCATTAATATGCTGTGAAAGACTGACATTGTGTCAATTTCTTCTACGTAAACTGTAGTAATTGAGTAGTAGTACAAAAATAACTTGCAGATTGTTAGACGTTTATAATCCTGTTGAGATTCACAACTGAAAACTGAATTTCTCAGTGCCTAACTTTTCAATAAAAAAAAAAAAAATAGAATCATGCTAAAGTGAAACTTGGGCATCTTTCAAAATCCATAATTAATTAGTACATTTATTTTATCCCAGCAAAATGACCCCCAAAAGGAGCTTTTGGTCAGTTTGATTTCAATCATCCCATTTGAACATGTTGTTCAGCTTAGTTCTAGACTATAAACAGGTCGGCCTTGTTTTTGGTATTAGTAGCACACCCAAAACACACTCCTTTATTTTCTGACACATTGTGTGCTCAAAGCAGCCTGTTGTGTAGTGCTGACATTCAGCTTCACTTTATTTTATATACTAGTGTCACATTGGACATTTAGTCTGTTCTGGTGAAGGCTTTTGACTGCATATAGTCATGAAAAACAACCTCTTCAAACTCTTAATGTTTTATGTTATTGTAAAAACCTGACAGAATTAGCACAAACTCAGAATAGACAATACTTAAATTATTAACCTTGATTTCTTTATTGAGCAAAGTCAAAATACTAACGTCTGTTTTTATGAAATTTCTGTGAACATTGTCTGACCTTTGGGGGGGATTATAGTGGGATGTTAACTCCTGGAAAAGTCTGAAAGCTCCTAATTGTAAAAAAAAACATAAAATCACTTTTCTTTAGATGGATAAACATAATTTGTTTTCTAATGACCTTATAGCCCGTTCCAAATGTTTTACCTCTAAGGTTTTTGAGGAATAAGTTGTATTTGCTTGTTTTACGGGTAAATATGTAAAACACTTGAATTATTCTATACCATGACTTTAATCAGCACTCTGACAAAGTCCCATTTTTAAAGTAAAACCTGCATATTGAAGAAGATAAAAAATCCCTCCAGCTGTAATCGTCACTGCATACGTGTAACTACTTGAGTCACCTTGGTAATTTTGTTATTTTTGTTCTCAGATGAGTCAGGCCGAGCAGGTGCCTGAGGACATGCCTGCATGCCACACAGATGAGCCAGAAGCTACAGGTAAGCTGAGCTCTAAATCTCCTTTGTCATCTCATAAGACACTCAAGGGCAAGAACATGGTTGAAGTTTTGACTTAAACTGACTTTTTTTAATATTTAATGAAGAAAAAAATAATCAGGCTGGATTTGGTTAAATTAATGTGAAGGCATGCTGAGTCTAAATTACAATGCAGGAATGCAGCCTTGAGAATCACCTAAACCTAATGAACTTCTCTGACATATGTAAGGAGTCATATACGGAAAGGCATGAATAGCATTGAAAAAATATGCAAACACTACAGGACTTGTTTCTGTTATGGAAACATACTTTCTATCGCTGTTCTCCAAGTAAAAGCTCCATCATGTTTCAGAAACTGTGTTCCTTTACCGTGTCAGGCATGAAATAAAACTAAACTTTTCCGCTTTGATTCAGTTTGAATGAGCAAAATTATTTATCTTTTCTAAAATAATGCGAGAGAAATGTTTTTCATGAACATACTCCTCCAAGCCAGAATTTAGCATACAGTGAAATATTTTTTACCTGTGCATTTTAAGTGTGTTTTTGGTCAGTTGTCCAGGGTGTCCTTGTACAAGCGTCACCAGTAGTTTGCTAGAACGTTCATTCATTGCACTTCACAACGGACTACTTCACAGCAGGGTTTGCAAGTTTCCCTCTCTTTCCCTCAAATGTAATAGCAGAGGTGTTCAAAATCAGTTTGAATTTTTTTTCTTTGGTTCAACACACCTGGATCAAATAATGGTTAATTTGCGAGCCTCTCCAGAACTTTGACATCGTGTTGAGGTAGTTGGAGCAGAGGCTCATCTAAACTTTCAGGATACCAGGCCTTGAGTAAAGGAACTGGACACCCATGGACGAGAGTAGAACAGAGTAGAAATGCAGTGCATGTCTTCAACCCTGAAGGCATTTGGAAACTGTAATCTTATTTAGTTGTTGCTGCTGCTTTTAGATCAATAGCCATTTTTCTGACAGGCTTTCCAGGCCGTGTTGGTGAATTGCTTGTTTCATTGTGGATACTGACACTCTCAGCAGCTTCAGCCTCCTGACAAGGTTGTTTGCGTTTGTCCTTTGGGTGGATATGTACATTTGGCACCAAAGCACATTCGTCCTTCCTGAACGGTACAATGGCTGAATATTTCCCTGGTGTTTATACTTCCATATAAATGTTTAAACAGAAGAACGTGGCACTGTCAGGCGGCTGGAATATGTATCCAAGGATGAATCAGACTTGTGGAGGTTCACGCTTCTCTTCCTAATACCTTTGCTGATTTATTTTGCTTTTTTTTTTTTTTTTTTTAAACAAGATGTAACACAAGAAAGCAGTTTGAGGTGTTGCTTTAAAGTACGCCACAAAAAATGCCTCCAATTTGCTCAAATGTCGTAAAGTAAGTTATCAAAAACTAAAAAAAAAACTAAAAAAAACACACAAACTCTTTAACTGGTCTTTCTCAGACTGTTTAAATGTTTAGAGGAAAAACCTCACCAACGCCAGCAGATGGCATGGTGTCCTAAATGATTGTGAGAACTTCACCCTGGACCTGTGCGGTAGCTTTTGAAGCACTGACTCCAGTCTCAATCCAGGTCTGGTGAATATTCCCCAAACTCTTGAATGGGCTTTGATTCACATTTGTCTCAAGGCTGAAATGATCCCTTTTGCTTCTGTGTCTTTCTCCACTATCCTTCTTTATTCCACTCATCTTCTATTCTTGTGAACAGCCAGCCTAATCACCTTCTGGTGTGGCTCACCTTCTTTATATATAGTACATAATATTATTAGCTGCCTGCTGGACAACTGACAAATTAGCAGTCTTCCATATGTTTGTGGAGGCACATTTCAGTTTAAAAAAAATAAAGATTTTATTGTCTTTATCTACTATTATTTTTTTAACAAACAGAATTTAAAGTTTTTAATTAGCTAGCCTGAAAATTAATGAAGCAAACACTTGAAGCATTTCACTGTGTTTATGCTTTTGATTAAATCACTAAACTATTCATTGATATTTTTATTTACGGAGATGCTCTCGTAGTCACAGAGTAAACAATCCGTCTTTCAAAAACAAATTGATCATTAAAGTAAAAGTAATAGTATTTATAACTTTTTTGTCGCTGATTAAACCAATTCACAATATGTTGGTTTTGTTGTTTTAAATCAGATGCCAACAAGGACCACCCACAGACACAGCCGGGGATGTTCGGCAGGTTGGCGGGGGGGTTATATGGAGCCACCAAAGCTACAGTGGGTGGCGTGACTTGGATAGGAGGAAAGAGCCTGGACCTCACCAAGACAGCTGTCTGCACTGTAGCTGCCGTGCCTGTAATGGGAGTGGGGCTGGTGAAGGGGGGAGTGTGTGCCGTGGCTGGCGGCGTGACCGCGGTCGGGTCTGCAGTAGTCAACAAAGTTCCTCTAGGAGGCAGCAAAAAGAAAGATAAGTCAGACTGACATGGAGCAGAGGAGACTGGACACACAGCTCACACTCCTGTTGATGTTTTAACATTTGTAAGCGGGAGAAAAAAGCAACTAAGGACTTAGAGCTGCAGTTTGCAAGTTATGCTGTTGTTGTTTTTGTGTTATTTTTATGTAACTAGAGATACAATTCCACAAATGTTTAATTATGTTTTCAAAATGTGTACATAAAAAGAAAGCAATACAGCACACCTGTTCTCATTCCTTCTGATTCAAGACAATCAATGATGATCTGTGCCTTATAAGGAGTTCTTTACTTTCATCTGGAAATAATTCACTTTCAGCTGGTAAATATTAGAAACACTCTGAGTCTGATTTTCTGATTATTCCTCTTCAGATAAACACACGTACTGACAAATGATCAGATAAATCTGATCAAGGACATGGTAGATAAAGTCCAGTTTTTTAATATAGATTTTTATGGGTTGGTTTATTGTGTTTAACCTGAACATTTTGGTGTCTTCCATTTCAATGTGCATGCTTCTCAGATGTATGGCTTTCTTGTGGTAATCTTCTCACCTTCGTAGAAGATTGTTGTTTTAGACATTTTATTTTTATTATTATTATTATTACTACAATAAATGCATTTTATTACTGTGCAAAGGACTTTTTGTAATTAAATCTTTTCTTATTTGTATGCTTTCCTTTTGTTCTTCTTGTAAAATAAAGCTTCAAAGTTTTTCAAATTAATTTATGGAGGTAATTTTCTTTATTTTAGGTAAAAAAAAAAAACAACAACATATAATTCAAATGATTGAAGTTTCACTGAAAAATTGTATGTTTTAATATTTGGAATGAGATTTAATTTCTTCAGTAATTCAGAACTCGTGTATTAGTTGCAGTAAACTGGTACTCCGGTAGCATTATACTGATTAATTATAGCAATTCACTTGTAGTTGGTGCATAAGAATTGGTTAACTGTGAATTATGTTTTTAAATGAATGTTTATACAGAAAGTATGTTTTTATAAACCATTTTTGAAGCCCTCAAAAACAATACACTAACAATACATAAAAAAAAAAAAAAAAATTCCTGCAGCACAATAAAACATTTTCGGTTTCTGCTTGCTAAAAACCATTCACCTACCAGGCTTACAGTTTGGTAATAACAGCAGAAAACAAAGTTAATGCTCCTGCATACGAAGCACACGCGCCACCCTTCTTCCTCTTTCTTTGCCATGTCGTCCTTCACCACACAATCAAATGCATACCACCAGCCAATGTAGCCAATTCTATCAAAAAAAAAACAACTTAATTTGTAATTATTCAGAAATATTTAGAACTAATCTGATAATAATTAGGATAGGGTATGTGGATGAAAATTTGAAGTGTCCAAATCATCGTAGATTACTTAAGTTCTTGTTTGACCGGTCTGTATATTATGCTTTTCACTTCTGTTTTAGCCTAAGATGGTTCTCAAGCCAAATTACTTTGGAAATGCTGTTTTGTATGTTTTCCTAAATGAAATAAATGTTTTTTTGAATCTCAAATTGTGTTTAAAGAGTTTGTTCAGCGCACTGAAAGGTTAAATGTAAGATTATAAACCAAAGAGGGTCAAATGAAATCTGTAAGAAGCAGAAACAACCCATTAGTCTTCTCAGTTAACTTGATAAACAATTAAGTTCCTGAAAATCCTTCAGTATACAACAGTTACATTTATTATTTCTCTTTGTGGCGCCCTCTGACCTGGGCAGAAAGCCACCTCTGACTGTCCTTGATCTGTCCCAGTGTCTTCTGTTGACTCTTTGGGTCACAGTAACCTTTTAAAAGTCAGATCCGCGGGTTTTGTTTGCTCCTAAATGTTTATTTTGTTCAGTCACAGTAGCAAGAATATTGATCCCCCTGCCTCTAACTTATGTGTGAAATAGTTTTTTTCAATGTATATATATAAAACATTTTGTAGCAATTCTTCTGTCTTCAACTTTTGTTACATTTTGTTTTATTGGATTTATCAATTTGATTTATTATACAGAGATTTTAAGGGGTGGACCACCTCAAAGTAGTGCATGATTGTGAAGTGAAAGAAAAAGAGTGGTTTTCAAATTAAAGTCTGAAAAGTGTGGGGCTCATGTTGATTAACTGTATACTCAAAAATAAAACCCAGTGCAATTCATTTCTTTTAGAAGTCACATAATCCGTAAATAGAGTCCACCCGTGTGTAATTTAAACTCTGTAAATCCAACTTTCTGTGAAAGTCTCAGGTTTGTTATGACTGGATGTCGTACATGTGAGCTCATAAACATATTTGTGATCTAGATTCCCATAACACACATACAAAATATTATGTTTTGCATATAGATAGATAAAGATCATATCTTTATCAAGGCACATTTTAGCATAAATATCATTAACCTGTTTTTATTCATCAATATTACAAGCTTGTGATTTTTTTATTTGTTTTACATTTTAATTCATGCAGTTTGTCAACAGAAGTTTTAAACGATTACTTTTTAAACTTGGGGTGCTCCTGCAATGCAGTTTGGTTTTTCCATGCTTGATATATTTGGAGAATTCATACAACAATTCAAATTCGTACAATGAAACCATTAAATACAATTTTAAAGATGTTGTAATGTATACAGCGGTGCTTATACATTTATGTTACAGACTGTCAGTGAACGCACCAGAGAAAAGACTGAGATTCAAGTGCGCACGTGTGTCGTAGAGAACGGATAACATCCATAGACGGATTGTAACCATGTATTGCTGTATGAGAAGCATTTCGTAT